AGCAAACGGTGAACACAATCTTTGAGAAACTTGTATGTGGGCTTCTTGATACCAATGGTTGATGTGAACCGATAAATGTCAAGGACAAACCTTTGAAGAGATTCCGTGTAACTGCCCAGCAGCCTGCAAGCTTTGGTCACCAATAGACTTCTCTTTTGTTAGAGTCATTATAGGAACTGAGCGAACCACTACCGTATCGGTAACTAAAAATTATCAAAACATGTTCTAGCATCAAGTAGAAGTAAAAAGAACTTACGGAAAGGATTGGTTGGCCGCCCTTTGAAAATGATACGGTAATTGGTAAGGAACAATGCTCCCTCAGCAGGAAGGAGACTTACATTGTTCTCGGGGTTCTCTGCATTGGCAGGGCGTCCTTCTGGAAGAAGTACACACCGCAGACCACCAACAATGATGCGCTCACATGGTGTAAGTAGCACAGGTGTAAGAAGTTTAGGCTTAAAAAAACAATTGGTATTATCTTTCACTAAATTATTTTGAGAATATACGACCTTTGGAGGAGGGGCGAGTTTCCTGCTTTCTGCGTAAACCTGCTCAAGGTTGTCAATGTGAACTGCAACAAAGCCGGGAATAACTTGAGTTAGTTGCTCTGTAAGGCGAGGATCCAATCCAGCAGCAGAGCAAATGCGGTCAATTACGCGAGAGATCCATGTCACAACCTGTATAGTTCAATGTACGGTAATAAGATGTATATGTCAGTAAAGTGTTATTAGCTTTCTTCACGAACTTTTTGAGCTTTGAGCAATATAATGCACACAACTGATTTACTCTCACATGAAGCAATTAAAAACAGCTACTTGTTGCTGTAGAGTATTTATACAATCAAGTCATGAGAAAAGATGACTCGTCTATAAATCCTCAAAACTTCCTTATGTTTCTACTTGCAGGTATATTTTTTCAATTTTTCATGTTTAACGTCTTGATCCAAGAGCGCTGGGCATGCACGATAATCTTGTGGTAGACTATTGAGACAATGGAACATAATATTCGTACCGTCCATGGTATTCACTTCCGCCATTATAATAATTCTCTTACGTCGACTACACTGATTACTAATAAGCAGAAAACATGCTTAACCTTCTCTTGGGACGTCAAGATAAATTTTTTTGTTTCCATATGCAAACGGTAGAGCTAATTTTATAAAGTGATATTAATTTTGGAAAAATTGTAGAACTTATGGAAGTTGCTACACTTACCACGTTTCCCAAATCCCCATCGTTGACATTTTCAATAAATCCAGATTCTCCATCGGAACATGAGTATGAGTCAGTCTGAATATGAAACGCTCTTGAAGCAGTAACCCCAATGTGAAGAGGAAGTGAAGTTTGGAAAAGGCTATTCTAGGGTGATACGGTAAGAAGCTGATAAGGTGGTATAATACATGGTGATGAAGACAAATATAACGTGCTTTCATAATGGTGGTGAAAGAACTTACGCTTACATCCCGCAGTCCACGAGAATTGCCGCGCAATTCGAGATCGTTTTTGTCGATTCGACGGAGACGCGAAGCATCTAGAGGAACGCGCAAGTAAATCATGAGGTTTACATAGTGCTTTGCCTGTCCGTAGACTATAGATTCCTCCTTAAGCATAAGAATCAATATAGCGAAGGTCAAGAGACATTCAGCTGGAAAAAGCACCTCTTCGCTGCATTTTTTCAACTCTTCTTCACTGTACTCCGTAAGGTTGCTAAGGCGCACCGCTGACACAGCCATAGCTGTAGGCTCCTCCAGCAGATTCCACATGTCATACGGACTTTTTCCGGATAACGGCATGCCACTGTCATGTACTTTCCCATAATGTCTGCGCATCAGTTCGTGAACATCATGGAAAAACGCAGTTTCCCAAAAGCGTTGATTGCTCCAAACGGAATGATCTTGTACACATGTATATGCGTACTGCTGTACACCTTGTGAGAGCCTCTAAATCGGTCAAAAAAATAATAAGAGTAAGATACCTTTTTTGTAGACTCACCCTGCAGTACATATTCCCTAAGTGCAAGCAAGCATACGCGATCCCATGCTCATCATCGTCAGATTCGTGCTGCAAACGATTTCGGCAGTTTCACAAAACATTATATCCCTTGCCTACTGACCCATCAAATCTACGCTATACAAACGAACGATGACTATCGGCACTATTAGTCGCATCATGCAGCTCCGCAGTATACTCAAGGAACAAGGACTCTGATCAAAACTCGCTATCAAACGTAGATACTAAATCTTCGGCAGAACAATCTCAGCCTTACCTCTAATGCACAGTTCAAAAGTCGAACAACCAGCTCAAATTGTGCAGGCTGCAACATTGCCCTTGTAACCGGTACAGCGGCATTCGCTAACTGCCGACAGAGAG